ATTAATCACAGATTAACCACGTCTATTAATCACATCGCGCACGTATCAGTCAGTATTTTGAATTTCGATTTGCATTCTTTTTTTTTTTTTACGATAGTATATCTGACGTAAGCGTTCGGAAGTTCGCTATCTTTGACTGAAAAACACATCGAGCTGAGAAACTTGGCGGACAGTTAATTTCCATTTCGCCGCGCCAGTTAAAAGTTAATTGCAATCGCATGGCCGTGTCTGCCGGACGTGTGATTAGAGTCACGCCGTCAGGCTTTTAATGTGTAATGTGTGCCTGCAATTAACGATAATCCGATTGAGGCCAATTGGAGGACACGAGCGCTTCTTCTCGCGGGAACAAAGCTGATTACGAACAGCAGAACAAATAGTTACACAGTCGAGCGCGAGAATTGCAAGTTTCGCCGACATTTTCAAATTAAAACGTACAGCTACTTAAAAGTATACGCGTGTAGGCATATCGTGTTATGTTCAGTGTTACGTACAGTGCTTGTAAATTTGAAACTGGAATTGGTATTATATAGGTGTGTTTACTCTACTCGACTGGATTTCACTTGATCCACTTGTTCGAACGGATTTGGAATTATACAAAGTGAATTGAAGAAGTGAACTGAAGGTTTATATTCGTTGGAATTATAAAAAGAGGTTCTGCAATCAATTCTTTTAACGTTGTATCGAATTTCATTTCAAATTAAGACATTTAAATCAAATTTTTTGGGAGAATAATCTTGTTAGTTAGTCTGACTTTTGTTTCCTGGACTTTTTAATAATCAGGATATTTTATCTAAAACTGCTTTATATTCTGCTCTACTCTGGCCTACGCTGTAATAAAAAAAAACTTTGATTAAGTGAAATAGCATGATGCTTTATCATACAATACATGTTTTTGAATTTCTTTTTTAACTTGTTTAATTCTGATGTCACTGCTCGTACGAGTCTATTCTGTGAAAAAAAATCAATGAAAATTAGAAAGTTAATTAGAGAAATAGTGTTGCATTGCAAAGTAGCTGAACAATTTTTTTTCCAACACTCGCTACTGAGGTGATAAAAAGATAGTTTTATCGATAAACGAAAACATACCGGTGATGGAAATAAATTTTTTTATTTTACGCAATAATACTGATCTAATATTCGCGAACGCAAAGTCAAACAGAATACGACAGAAATACGATAGAAATATTCCAAAACGAAAAATAGAAATTCTGATGGCTTGTATTATATTATTTACTTGTTGTACAATTATTTATTTCTCCCTTAAGACTAGAAGTTGTCAATCGAGTACTTTGTCTGTAAAAACTAACCAACTACAATAATTACAGATACATACCAATAATAAAATCGCGAGCTTCAGTTATCAGAATAAGCGTGAACAAGATAAGATTACATTATTCAACAGAATTTGATGTTCTTTAATTGTGACTCTACTGATTCGTGTGTAAAAGTGAAAATTGAATGTTTAAGTATTTAATGAAACGTAAAATAATATATAAAAAAAAAAATAATAATGTGAACGAACGTGAAATTAATAAAGCTATAACATATGTCACGATACGCACGCGAGATGTAATCTTGTGCAATTTGATTACGTAAACGATAACGCGTGACAGATGATAATTTCAGTAAAGGAAAAGTGTGAACTAAAATTGTTAATGAGATTAATTTTTTGACAAGAGTAAATCAAAGGGATAGTACAACTATATTGTCTTCAATCGTTCCCTACTATATGTGTAAGTACTCATTCTTTCAATGTTACTTTTATTTTTGATTTACACATCTTACATACAAATTTTATACTTTTACATTAAGAGGATTTCTTTAGTATTAAGGAATGTATTACAATGATGAGATCGAGACTCCAAACAACGCCATTCATTTAAATTTCATTTTTATAGACGATAATATTTGTCAGAATCTATTTTGATAATTTTTGATTTCTATCTATTGGTTATTACTTCATAATTTTGACTTATCTTATCTTCTAATTTCTTTCAAGTAGGTAAGTAAAATTGGCCACTCCAAAATTATACACTCTCTGATTGTTATCCAACTTCTCCACGTTCTTTTTTAAATATATATTTAGAAAGTAGAACCTACTATCTCTTTAAACTACCCTCTACTAAATGTTATAGACAGTACTCTACTTTAGATATTTTATTTGGAGATTTCATTTCTACGTATTGTACGCATCCTGTATACTCTTCAGTATCTCGCAATTGTTCAGACTTTGCAGTAAACGCGACACTTAATTGTAAATTTAAAAAAGCAAACAAAAAAAAAAAAAAAAAACAGAATACTTCGGAATAATTGAAACTCTCTTATCAGTGCGTAATTGACAAATTTCAACAATACTCTTTATTAAATTTTTTAATAAACTTGTATCTTTATATCCCTTCCAATCAATATGAAACTATCTCTACTTTGTCGTGTTCCTCTGCAACAGTAGATACACGTTTCCGATCCTAATTCCGAATACGAAATCTCGCGGCTGCTCCACAAGTTCGAGCATTTCTCATCTCACGAGTATACTTTATATGCACCGTTTGAGCTAAGAAGAAACTACTTCGGTGACTGGGATATTTATAAACGCGATCGGTAGTGGGAGAGCAACTGGTAATGTAACATTAGCAAGTCAGGTAAAAGCGAAAGGAGAGAGAAAACGGAGAATACAGTCCAGAATACACATAAGCAGCAGCACTCGCTTCGATTTTCATAGATCAACATTATTAGTGGTACATGTATACAATTCCCACGGGATTAGAATGAGTCATAGTACGATCAGTGAGATCGAAAGTTGCAGAACTGACCAGTCAGTCAATGTTGATCGCATCGTGAAAACGGGATCATGGCACTGTGCTTTTTCTCGAGTATAGGACTATATTCGAAAGTGAAAGAAACTGAAGATGTTAAGGAAGTTACGATTATATCGGTGAGTACAGACGAATACGTGTATCCATTTTGCTGTTGGTCAGATTTTTTTTTTTTTTTTGTGAAACGGCTATATTTTGGGAATGAATAGGTTAGGTTAACACGAGGCTGCGCGTTAAGAGAAATCGTCTGCGTCTACGCAGTTCTCACTGAAAATGTCTCGTTCTGGGCAAACATTCTTTTATCGAGACTGATAATTAAAATTCAAAGCTGAAAGAAATTACGTAGAATGCACATAATATAAAAAAATTAGGGAAATCATCTCTGATTTCAACGATTTTTCGATATGCTATTCAAAATGGACATGATTCTCTTTTAGTTTTCGAAATGTTTACGTAAAATTGTCGACACTATATATATAAATTCTGTCAATAAATGTGTGTTTGTGGCAACGTATGTATCAGTAACTTAACTCTTACACTCGTCTCATGTTCCAATTTGTAACCGCAGAGATGAAAGAGAAGGGAGTTCGATTTTTAATTTATCGAATCGTACCAATGTTCAAAAACAATGTTTTTCTTAAAAACGAGTAAATCGGTGTTGATTCGAGGTAGAAGTATTTTCAATCGGCGAGAATCCGAGTGAAATGTGTCTCTTAAGAATCCTCTTTGATAC